CCCCCCCCCCCCGGTCTGGCTTGGGGTCTAAACCAGAGCGATGGGCTTGGAGCCCGAAGGGTTCAGGTAGGTGGGGGCCGGTCCCGTGTCCAGTTCCAGGAAGGCGGAGTAGAGCGTGGTCAGTTGAACATCCGGTAGGTTGTGGTGCTGGGGGAGTTTGTCGCCGCCGTGGTTGGCATCCGCTGGGCAGGGGGCCAGGAAGTCCGGCTGGGCAGCGGTCGGGGAGGCCGAAATGAGGCCCAGCGGCTCCGTCGCCAGGCTGTCATCCTTCAATGCCTCCCAGAGGGTCCCTGCGGGGAGGATGACAAGAGACCAGGTGGGGTGGGCGGGGGGCGCAAGAGGTGGGGGACCGTTTTCCTCTCCCCCCCCCAAAGGAAAGCCAGAAAGGGGTCAGTGGGCGGAGGGGGGGAGGAGCATACAGGACAGGTAATCCTCGACTTATAACCATTCATTTAGTGACCATTCACGGGAGCAGTGCGGTGGCCTAGAGGTGGAGCTCTCCCCCCCCAACCAGGAGGCTGTGAGTTCGATGCTGGGTAGCAGCAGCTATTTCTCTCTCTCAGCACAAGGAGAATATTATCTGCTGAGAAAAAAAAACTCCGCCCTGGGGACAGGAAGGGCATCCGGCCATTCAAACACTCTGCTCCATTCAATTGGCCAGACTCCACCCCGCAGGGGATTATGGGGTCGTTAAAAGAGGGTGGGGATGATTTAGGGACCGTTCAAGATTACAACTTACGGCCGCTGCTCGGCTACTGACTCGTATTTATGTCTCAGTGTCCTGGGGGGGGGGGCCCGGGGAACCCCCTTGGGGCCGTTTGGACCGGCAAAGTCAAGGGAGGGGGGGGGGGAGCCAGATTCACTTAACGGCCATGGGACTAACTGAACGATGGCAGGGATTTGTTTAAGAGCCCCTGCCAGGAACGGGGACCAAACGGGGCAATAATATCCTCTTAACCATGCCTGAATTGTGGTCATAAGTCGAGGACTGCCTGTATGGAGAGAAAGGGGAGAGTTGGCAGTGCCCTCGGCTTGAAGGGCATTTGCGAACACCCCCCCACCCCCGAGAGAGCTAAACCGTGCCTGGGCCCACCTGCCTCTGTGCCAGCCGTCAAAAGAGCCACCGTCCCCCATGGCTGCCCCTGCCAGGGCTGACTGGATGGCACATGACCCCACCTCCTTCCAAAAGCCATTTTGGGGGGAGTGGCTGAGAGAAATGCTGTCTCTGTTTGCCCCTTTCTCTCAGCTGCTTCCCCAAAAGGGGTCCAACCAGACCAGGGGTCTCCAACTTGTCCACTTTAAGACTGGTGGACTTCAACTCCCAGAATTCCTCAGGCAGCAGACCAGGGTGTCTCCCACCTTAGCCCCTTTAAGACTGGTGGACTTCAACTCCCAGAATTCCTCAGCCAGCAGACCAGGGTGTCTCCCACCTTGGCCCCTTTAAGACTGGAGGACTTCAACTCCCAGAATTCCTCAGCCAGCACACCAGGGTGTCTCCCACCTTGGCCCCTTTAAGACTGGTGGACTTCAACTCCCAGAATTCTCCAGCCAGCACACCAGGGTGTCTCCCACCTTGGCCCCTTTAAGACTGGTGGACTTCAACTCCCAGAATTCTCCAGCCAGCAGACCGGGGGTCTCCCACCTTGGCCCCTTTAAGACTGGTGGACTTCAACTCCCAGAATTCCTCAGCCAGCAGACCGGGGGTCTCCCACCTTGGCCCCTTTAAGACTGGTGGACTTCAACTCCCAGAATTCCTCAGCCAGCAGACCGGGGGTCTCCCACCTTGGCCCCTTTAAGACTGGTGGACTTCAACTCCCAGAATTCTCCAGCCAGCAGACCGGGGGTCTCCCACCTTGGCCCCTTTAAGACTGGTGGACTTCAACTCCCAGAATTCCCCAGCCAGCAGACCGGGGGTCTCCCACCTTGGCCCCTTTAAGACTGGTGGACTTCAACTCCCAGAATTCTCCAGCCAGCAGACCGGGGGTCTCCCACCTTGGCCCCTTTAAGACTGGTGGACTTCAACTCCCAGAATTCTCCAGCCAATGTTGGCCAGGTTTGGGGACCCTGATCCAGAGGGGAGGGGTACCTTGGAGGTCGAACCCGGTGATGGAGGGGTTCAAGGCGTCGACATCCATGCTGAGGTCGCCATCCAGAAGCAGCAGCTCCGGCCTGGAGGCTGCCAGCATCTTCATCCCACATCCCGGGGGGCTCTGGGCCGGCAGAGGGGAAGGCAGAGCCCCCTGTCCATTCTGGGCATCTGCAGGGAGTGGGGAGAACGTGGTGAGTGTCCGGCGTTGGGTGAGGCAGGAGGGGTGGGAGGGAAGAAGACGGGGAGGGGGGCTCTCCCTGACTCCCTGTTCTCCCACTTCCCCAGATGGTGGCTGGGCCGGCTCGTCTGCTCCCCACCCCTCCCTGCCCCAAAGGATGGATGGGGCCGCTCCTTCGCTCCCCATTCACTTGGAGGAAGGTTGGGGTGCTCTCCACCCCCCGACCCGCTCCCTGTGCTGGGGGAGGGGGGCAGCAAGGGGTTGGAGGCTCACAGAGAGGCAGTGGCTGGAGCGGCATCTGCCCGGAGTCGGAGGGACCCCCGACGCCAGCTGGACTGCAGGACAGGCGCTTCTCTGACTTGTCCCCGATCAGAATTTCCAGTTCTTCTAAAAAAAAAATAATGAAAAGGAAGCGTCAGCACCGAAGAAGACTTTTCAGGGTGGATTTTCCCCGCTTCTGCCCCCTCAAAGCCTCCTGCTCCTGTGCCCGAGACCCCTCAGAAGTGCCCTGTGGTGACCTGGGATGCAGCAAGAAGGCAACACTGCCAGAAAATAGGCCTGAGTCCCTTTATTTGCTCCAATTTTGCCCCCAACGTCCCGGTTACTCTCCAGCCTGGAGAAAAACTCTCCCACGAACCTGCAACAGCCTCTGGCTGCAGTCCAAACGCCGTAAGCAGAATGGCTGCAATCAAGCAGTCCAGCCGGGCTAGAGAAGCACAGAGAGGCACGGCGATAATTCACACAGACAGGAGGAAGGCCAGGAATGCAGGCTAAAACTCACAACGCTAGATGAACTCAGCGTTTGTTCCTGCCAAACGTCCCTCCCAACCGCCTCTTCTTTAAACTCCATCCCCACAGCCGACGGAGCCCCTCTCCCGGTCAACTGTTCATCTCCCCGCTCAGATTCAGACTCCAAGGGGAGGGGCATGACACACCTGGGGAGGGGGGTGAAGCTCTGCCTGACCCGGTCTGGAATTGGGGCCATCCAGCCTCCTGCACCATCTATTTTTCTTCACGGGTTTTTCTTTGATGCTAAAAGGTTTCTGGTCACCCAAAGGGGTTTTCTTCCAAGGGTTTTAAAACGTACACAGCCCAAGGACCGACTAGATGCTCAGGGCCCCACCCAGGCTGCGTTTTGCAGGGGCCCCCTAGAACTGCTATCTATACTTCCGCAGCCCAACACCTCCAGCTCTTGGATCTTAACTGACAACTCAAACAATGTTGGCTTGCTCAAAGGTGGTTTTTACAAAATGGCAGTTTGGATTTTCTTGAGTTTTTTTTCCCCCCCCGAAGAGGTTTTGCTTCTCATCCAAGAAGGCTTCCTCGGTTCTGAGTGAAGGGTGAAGAATGAACCGAAGAAGAACTGAGGAAGCTTTTTTTGGTGAGAAGCAAAATGTCTTCAAGGTGAAAAGAAAGTCTTCAAGAAGTCCAACTTTTGGGGAGAACCAGAATCGCCGTAGAGCAAGGCTCTTCCAACCTTTGGCCACTTTAAGACTTGTGGACTTCAACTCCAAAGCTGGCTGAGGAATTCTGGGAGTTGAAGTCCACAAGCCTTAAAGTGGCCAAAGGTTGGAGTCCCTGCCAGAGAGAATATCGGGTTACCTGTTGGCTGAATTCTCTTTCTGCTTTGTTCCCAGGTGACTAATTCCCAGGTTTAGTTACCTTGCCAAATTAGCTCCCCGATCGGCTTTGCCAATTTAATTCCCTCTTTGGCTATTGTCACGCAACCTCTCCCAGATTAACTCCGGATTGACTATGCAAGAGGCATTCTCGGAAAATTGGGGTTATTTTGGGGGGTTCCACCTGGCTGCCCCCCGCCTCCCGCTTCCCATTTAGCTTGGACCACAGTTATACAACTATAAATCTTTTGCCCTGGGAATGAAAATTGGTCCAGCCGTTCTGGGCAAATGAAGTAATAAAAATTAATAGGGGGGAAAAAGCCCGTTTCTTTTTCCTTCTCAACCTCATCCAAAAGGGAGACCCCCCCCTCTCCTGCCAAACCAGGGATGCTAAAGGGCGGAGCCTAAGTCCCCATCCCACCCCTCCTGCCTTGATGCTCTGGGGGGGCTGCTTCCCAGCGAGGGCCCACCCCCGGTGCCCGGGGCCCGGAGGCCGGCTCTGCCAAGGGGCCCCTCCCTCCCCACCTGGCTTGGCCATGCTCTTCCGGATGGCCACGGGGTCCTTCCGCTTCCACTTCTGGAGCTCCTCCTGCATCTTGTCGACCTTGGCCGGGTTGAGGGCCCACAGGCAGCCCTTCCGGGAGGAGCCGCCGGCCTTGTTCTCCACCTTCTCGAAGCATTTGTTCAGGGACAGGTTGTGCCGGACCGAGTTCTTCCAACCATCCGGTGCCGTCTAAGAGCAAGGAAGCAGAATCACAACCATTCAGACAGCGGCAATTGGAGGAAAGAAATGGTCCAGCCGTTGAGTAGTGAAGGCCCCAGGCTGGGTATCAGGTGGCTGCGAGTTCTAGTTCAGCCTTAGGTGTGAAAGCCCACCGGGGTGGCTTTGGGCCAGTCACCAGGAGACGGTGAGTTCTAGGTCCAAATTAGGTACGAAATCCAGCTGGGTGACTTTGGGCTTGTTACCGTCTCCTTTTCCTCGTTTTTAATCTCGAGCAAAAGTCCAGAATTTGTTTGCGAGCAAAAACAAACCTAGATAAATTATGGTTCTTTAATTAAAACAGTCAATATCACCATCAAAGCACCCGAAGGCCAGAAAAGGAACAATGGATGGAAATGAACAAGGAGAGATTCAACCTGGAAATAGGGAGGAATTTTCCCGACAGGGAGAACAATCCACCCATGGAAGAGAAGTTGGAAGTTGTGGGAGCACCATCACTTGAGACCTTCAAGAAGAGACTGGACTGCCATCTGCCAGAAATGGTGTAGAAGGGTCTCCTGCTTGGGCAGGGGGTTGGACTAGATGACCTACAAGGTCCCTTCCAGTTCTGATTATCTGTTCTGTCTGCTCACTCCCTTTTACCATCCAAGCTTTTGTTGTGGGAATTTGCCTGTCTTTGTGTCTCTGAGATTCTCACTCTCTCAAGGCGTAGAATAGCGAAGTTCCTTTAAAAGCCGAATAAACTGGA